TACTACCAGCAAAAGGTTATTCCTCCCATGCTAACCCCACCGTGGGAAAATTGCCTAAATTGTCAGTGTAGACACCACCCAAGTGCACATGCCCTTGCAGATAAGATCTTGTGTGGCTTCCTGCCCTTCGTTCTGTATATGGAAAGAATAGTCATTTTTAGATGAGACAGAGCCAGCTGCATTCAAAACAAGCAGAGAGGCTCAGGTATTGGTGCAGGGTGCCCTGGGCTGGTGTGTTCACTGCAGAGCACTCCCCGTTTCCCATACTCTCTGTTTCGCAAGCAGATGACTGGAAGAGTGGTCGGGTGCTCATGGCTTGGCCTGAACCTGTCAAGTTTGGGTAATTTCCTGCATCCTATGGTCAGTGCACCCACACGCACTTTAGATATGATTTATTGTATTATTGCCCAGCTTTGAATTCTTCCCCATCCTCATCCAAACTTCCTGTGCGTTATCATAGGTGTTTATCTTTGGAAAACAAAATTATAACAAAATCACAGGATCCCAGCCTGGTTTGTGTTGGAAGGGACCTTAAAGCTCCTCCAGCTCCAACCTCTGTCACGGGCAGGGACTCCTTCCACTAGAGCAGCTTGCTCCAAGCCCCTGCGTCCAACCTGGCCTTGAACACTGCCAGGGATGGGGCAGCCACAGCTTCTCTGGGCACCCTGTGCCAGCGCCTCAGCACCCTCCCAGGGAAGAGCTTCTGCCTAAGAGCTCATCTAAAATTAAATGTCCAAATACCTTTTTCACTTTTACCATAATTAAATCAAAGAATGACCCAGAGCTCCTCCAGGGTGAGAAGACTCAGGAACTTTGATGGGATGTGAATCAGGCAATGGGTCATCACCTTTTGTCCTGTATAAGCAGTGGCTTTATCACGTACCTGTCCCATATATGCTTGCAGGATGCAAGGCAAGAGAGGGACCAGCCTTTCCCATATTTCTGTTATGATCTGTGGCAGGAGGGTTAGGCACTTTCCTGTGTAGCAATAGTGCTAATGCTTGCTGTTATTAGATTACAGGCTGGAAACTATGTATGAAATGTATTTTTGTGAAAAGGCTACTTGCACCACCATTCAAGACTGTAACATGTTCTCTTTGTAGCTGAGGGAGAGTGATAAGCCCCAATAAGCTGACAATATCTTAGTGTTCACCGAAGTTTTTCCATGCTCCTGCTCCATAACAGGGGTTTTTGCTCTGACTGATCAGCTGGTAGAGTCAGGGAGGTTTCTCCTGTGTAGGATTTTTGTGGCCTGGCTTAATCCAACCTGAGTCTGAGGACCTGTAGTTGAATGAATGTGATTAGGTAGGGACAGGCCAAGGGGAATGGCTTGAACCTGCCCGAGGGGAGACTGAGATGAGCTCTTAGGCAGAAGCTCTTCCCTGTGAGGGTGCTGAGGCGCTGGCACAGGGTGCCCAGAGAAGCTGTGGCTGCCCCATCCCTGGCAGTGTTCAAGGCCAGGTTGGACACAGGGGCTTGGAGCAAGCTGCTCTAGTGGAAGGTGTCCCTGCCCGTGGCAGGGGTTGGAGCTGGAGGAGCTTTAAGGTCCCTTCCAACCCAAACCAGGCTGGGGTTCTGTGTGATTCTGTGATTCCATGATGCTGCTTTCCAGCACAGCTTGGAGAGCACAGCACTGCATATGGGGAAATGCAGGTTTCTTGGCTGGGGAGGGGGATTCTCAGCGATCAGTTCCAGCACGCTGTCTGCCTAAGTCAAGTGTTTGTTTTCTAACTCCAAAATGAGTCTGCGAATGAGGTGTTGCTTTTCTGGAGATCTTATCATCTCTAAACAGACTGTTAAAAATAGGGTCGTTTTACACAAAACTTGTTTGTGGAGTGAAACAATTCAAAACATGATAATAACAAAACAAAGTCTTAAAATAGCTCTAAGTCCAGACCACAGGCACAGCTGCCAAGCACTTTCATCTTTATTACAGTTACTCATATCTCTTCTCTTATTATTCCTATTGTAAACCCGCTGATTTTATCACAGTTGTCCTCCGCCACCAGCCCATGTAACTGCACCCTGTGATCCAGCCTGGGTGCTCTGTCCTGGGACCCAGGTCATGCATGACCTTCCATGGTTAGCTTTGTGCATGGACGAGTCTGCTGCCCCACTGCAGACGGTGTTCCCATTTCCACACACTTTCTCTGCTGCTTCGTCACCTGCTTTAGCTGGGTGGTGTTAAAATGATGCTGAACCAGCTTGCATGATGTGCTTGAAGTTCTCCTGCCGCACAGCAGTAGTGGTTTGAGCTGTGTCTGCCACAGCTGGGGCTGAAGGTGATGTCTCTCCACCCTTTGGCTAAATGAGTATTTGTTTCTCTACACCCTTTGGTTCAGGGTAGAAAATGCATCCAGTAAAGGAGGAAGACCTGACCTCAGACAGCGCGTGTTCATCTGATGAAGTCACCTCTACAGTTAATAGCGATGGAGATCAACCTGTGTCATTTAGATAACAGTTCTGCAATTAGGTTAATCTGAATGTGCATGTGAACCTTAAGAAGCTATTAGGGAAACCATTGTATGCTTGCATCTAAAAGTAACACGTTACTTGGTTAATACAAGGTATTATCTAGTTAATACTTGGTTTATACAAGGTACCAGTGAGATCCAGTGGTGAAATAAGGTTTTGAGAGTTGCAAGTCTTATCTCAGTTGCAAACTGAGATAGCTGGGAGAAAAAGAAAACCAGCTGCCAAAGCGAGGGAGACCCAAACCCCTTCTTCAGGGCCAAAACAGAAGTAGCAGCCTTCAACTTGTCTACGTGTTGAGAATAATTACACAGCTGGAACTTTGTGGTGTTAATCTGGTATTCTGAGAGAAAAGTAATCTGAGACTTGTGGAGCAGAGTGGCATATTGGTCTCTAATCAAGTGGAATCATAAAATGGTTTGGGTTTCAGGGACCTTAAAGTTCATCCAGCTCCAACCCCTGCCACGGGCAGGGACACCTTCCACTAGAGCAGCTTGCTCCAAGCCCCTGTGTCCAACCTGGCCTTGAACACTGCCAGGGATGGGGCAGCCACAGCTTCTCTGGGCACCCTGTGCCAGGCCTCAGCACCCTCCCAGGGAAAAGCTTCTGCCTCATATCTAATGTGAATGATCCTTTTTCAGTTATAAACTTTGGAGTAGGAGAGGGAGATTTGGTTGAAGATTTAGCCAGGCTGAGGAATGATAATGTGATAATGTGCCTTTCTCGTCAGTCTCTGGTTTGCAGCACACAGTCACTGCATTAACATTAGCTTCTGCTTTTGTCACTTAAAGCTCATCCGCTGATTCCTCTTTTGGAATGTCGGTGATGCAGTGTTCGTTTTGTGTTAAAAACGCCCCCAACCCCCACAGACCAACCCAAAACAAGCAGGGACAAAAGCATATCTCTGTTCTTTCTGAACAGTAAGATTGAAAACCCATCTGCTGCTCTGTGTGTGTCTGCTTTGGTACAGTCAGTCTTTGAGGCAGCAGATGAAGTGCCCACAGGAATTCCCCAGAAGGTGGTGGAAGCCAGGGCTTCCTCTGTGAGCAGGGCTCCATGAGCTGTGGGGATTGGGCTGTGGTGCAGAATGTGGTATTCCAGCAGCCAGTTAACTTGAGGGGTCATCTCAGTGCTAGGAGAGATGGCTGGGGATGTGTCTCAAGGGGTGCTGTGACTCCCACTTAGCTTGCTTTTCTGGTTGATTAGCTCTATGAGGTTTTCACCCAGGTGAAGTGTAATGCTGAGGTGTGTGTTTGCCGGGGGGAATGCGCATTTTTTACTGTATTAGGTTTGTTTACTCATTCTGTAACCAGCACAGATCCAAAATGCACTTATTTTGACAAATCCTTCGTTTCCACGATCTTTCTCTCCAAGCAGAATCAATCTCTCAGAAAGGAGAGCAGAGAAGGCTGATGAGGATGAGAGCTTTTCCTCTAAGCCCTCATGTGAATAAACCTGGGTTTGTGCCCTCAGCTGATGATGGGCTCTGCATGGGCTAGAGATGTGTTTTCAAACACTGTTTACAACCATTTGGGAAAATACAGCCTTACTGTGCAAAGTGATTAGAAGGACTCTTCATGTCAAACATTCTTCATAGCTCAGCTCACTCACATTTACATCAGTACTAACACGTAATGTGCTAGAAGGCTCCTTGCTCTTACTACTCTATTGACAGGAACAATACACTCTATTAAAGAACACTGTTGTAAGCTTATTCTGTACCTCAGGTCCTGGTATTCTCATACACTCCAGAAAGGAGACGCTATTAACTGCTTACAATCTTACTTAGTTTACCTGCCTCCCCAGCAGTGCACAGTTAGATCTTCATGCATTTTTGTAATCACCGGCCTGGGACAGGAGAGACAGTGGCTGAACCAGTTCTTCTTGCTGTCAGAGTTCCTGCAGTTCACTGCAGCAGTTTCCTCATCTGCAGAAGATCCTGGTTGGGGGTTCCTTTGTGACCGTGGCAGGTCTTGGCTTATCAGAGATTTGTAGATACCACAAAAGGGAAAATGCCATTCTTCCCATCTTTCTGACTGATGAACCCTGGCACTTCCAAGGGGGTGGAGTCAAAGACCTCTTGATTTCAGGGTCTTTTAAATCTTGAATTGCTTGCACAAAATGCAACTATTTCATGGCATTCAGAAGGCAGAGCAAGGTGGATAATGTTCATTAAGAAAGTGGTGCTGGGTCAGCTGTGGTTTCAAATGATAGTGATGGAAAATACCCTCTAAGCTGATTCTGTCCCAGCTTTCTCACTCTTTCTTGCCAGACAACTTAATCTTTAATTCTTGCTCCAGGGTATGCTGCTGCTCGGAATATGCAGCTCTGCCAGGAGTGTTCTTGTTTCTAAGAGGTATGCATGTAGCTAAATGTTTATATGATTTATACTTGAAAATCTAACCGGAATCATTCACACGTTAAACATTTGTATAATAGTGTATACTTAACTTTGGATGGACTAATGCCCATTTATCCACTGTGGTGGTGTTCTCCTAAACATACAACTTTTTCCTTGTATTTTCTAGGCAGCCATACTGAGTATTAAGCTAAAATTGCAGCCAGATCAAGATGTGGAGAAGGTGAGTCATACCCTCTGCAAGCTTCTCTGTCATCAGATCCACCTTTTGTTAAGCAGAAGATCCATCATGACCCTCCAAGTTGTGCTGCCTCTCACTTGAGGCTTTACTTTGTTCCCAAGAAGCAACTGCTGCAGTGCCGATGGACCCTTTTCATCTAGGGAGAAGTGACACAGTGTGTTTTCGTAGTTCCCATTGCACCCTACCAGAGTGCTTCTCATGCTGCAGCCACTGTTCTAAAATATTCATAGAATCCCAGACTGATTTGGGTTGAAGGGACCTTAAAGCTCACCCAGCCCCAACCCCCTGCCATGGGCAGGGACACCTTCCACTAGAGCAGCTTGCTCCAAGCCCCATCCAACCTGGCCTTGAGCACTGCCAGGGATGGTTATCACTGATGGAATTTAGTGCTTTTGCTGTCTGGAAGCTTTCCTAATGTTTCTGTTGAAAATGTCCCATCACTCTCTCAGGCAGTGCTGGTTGTTGAGCAGGGGGGGTGTGACCTGCTCACCATGTCTGAGCAGCAGGGAACAGGGCAGCCCCCAGCCAGGTTTCAGTCTGTAGTGTCATGGACCTCTTCTTCATGGCCTTCTGTATGCTGCAGCTCTCACTCTGTGGAACATGGTGATCAAAGGCAGGGCACAGGCTTTAAATGTGATTTCTTTTCTTAGATGTGCACGCCGCTACTGCTCCAAGATAAAGCTAACTTGGTGGAAGATTATGTGGAAGAATATCCTGAGCTCCAGAGCAAGCTCTTGCACATCCTGGACACGTGGTGTGAACCCCATTTTAACATCAAAGACATCACAAGGTAGAAACATTTGTTGATTTTCTAAACATCTGGGGCCAAGTTGCTGTCAGAGGAGAGTATCTTCTATCTAAGATAATTCCTCAGCACAGTGGAGTGCAATATATTTACTCTTCAGCTGAGAAAGAGTAAATTCTGGTGCCTGTGCCACAGAGCCCGTGAGACAGAGGTGTCATTCCTAGTGACAGATGCTCAGCTCCTGCCAGGAGAGATGAGTGCAAGATGAAACCTGGGCAGTAGTTCTTAGCAATACAGCAATATCAAAGCTTTCTCCAGCAGGCTGTAGCAATCACACTCTCGTGCTTTGCTGCAGACAAGGGCAAGTTTCAGTATCGGTTGTACAGGTTTTGCAGGAAGATAATACTGTGATGAAGTGGCAGAAAAACAAGAGCTGCAAGTGGTTAACCTCCCTGCGCTCATGAAAGTTGTGTGTGTCTTAGTTTATAAACTGCCTCTCACTAGAATAGCTCCTGTCAGTCACAGACCCAACAGCAGAGTCAAGCTCACAGTGCAGATGCAATAGCTGCAGTCTTGCTTCTGAAAAAAGACAAGAGGGAGTTGGGAGTTGCTTGCTTTCTCTTTCTTTAAAATAAGCCTCTGGACCTGCTTCAGTCACTGGCTGGGCAATGTGTGTGGTTGTATTGTTGGCTTTTGGCTGTAATTTAGGAAAAGTTGGGGACTGTTCATACCAGCGCATAGCAAACCCAAATGCCTCTGCTGCTAAATCTCTGCTATTTGGGAAGCAAAAAAGTTCAGGAGATTCCAGAGATGTTTCTTTCAGATTTCATTTATTTGCTTACAGACAGTACCAAGGCCTGTGCAGGTACAAGCCGGAGAAATTTAACCGCAAAGTGCTAAGCAAGCTGGTCTTCAGGCTCCTAGAGCGGTTTAACGTTGATCCAGGTATGCGATATTGCAACACATTGTGGACTTATCTCACCAGCAGAGAACAGATGAGGTCAATTTGTCTTCTTCCATGTTCAGCAAGAAATCTCTGCTGCAATTCATCACGGGGAGTTTCAGGGTTTAATTAATGATATTGAAAAACAAAGCTGGTAAGTTATGGGAATTATCACTTTGGACTGTCAAAGAATGAAGTGCTTGTGACTAATAGACTGCTTCTGCCATGATGGGAAATAAATCTTGACCTCAGAAAGGCTCTACGTAAACACATGATGGTCAGCTTTGAGTTATGACTCCATTCCACTCACATAAGAGGCAAGTCATCATTCGTCTGGGGATCTGTTTTCTTGAGTTATGGGTCTGTCAGCTGGGAAGAGATAACCCTTGGGAAGCAGGAGCCTCACAGCCCTTTGTATTCTTTGCATAAACTAGGGTTGGTGGAAGGGAATTTGAAGGCTCTTCCAGCCTTCTGAGAGTGGTAACACATTTTACATCAGTGACTAGATCTGCTTCACTAGTAGTTACATAATGAAATCTACTTTGGTTTGCTTTGGTTGGTTGTTAACAGGGACTGTTGATCTTTTCCCTCTCTTTGGGACCTTCCTTCCGACACCTTTAGGTGCACTGTTAGGTTTTACCCTGCAAAGCTTTCCATCAGCACCTCAAGATCTGCAATTTTCTTTTCTTGGACTGAAAGGAGTTTTCTAACCACAAATTGTGGGCTTATTACACCTGGCAGCAGCACTCTGTTGCATCTTAATCTTCACATCTTCAGACTGGCATTCAAAACTTAGTAAGATAATTCTTACAAACCCCCATTGGAGGCTAAGTAAATATAATTAAATTAGCACATTGGTGTAAAAGCTGAGACATATGAGGGTGATTTATTTAAAATCTAAAACCTTCCCAGGAGTTCACTTGTCTTCAGAAGTTTTCCTGCTCTACAAGGTTGGTCGTTCAGTAGGCTCTATTGTCTGCTATGATCTGTAAAGAGAATTGAGTTGTTCCCCTTTCCTTGTGACAGGTGCACCAAGGGTATGGTATGAGCTGTAGAGGTGAAATGATGGAACTGTTCACGTGCAAAATCCTGAGAAACTAGGAGAGAAAAGTTCTAGGAGAGGAGCATGTAGGTGCTCATCCCAGGTGTTCTCTGTGGATGCAGTGTCCTCAGCCTGGTGATGGTGTTGCAGACGGTGCTGCTAATAATAGCCAAATCTTGTTGGTCCTCCACAACACATTCACTGGTGGTAATGACAGCACATTCCTTGACGTAGATGCAGATCCCATTCCTTCCTACACATCAGAGAGTGACTTATCCCGTGCAAACTGCAGTGTCTACAGCGCAGGATAAGTCACTTGCTAGATAGGGCTGTCCGCCTCTGCTGATGTGAGAGGGGATGCGGGCTTCTGTTTAGACAAGATGCCAGATTTAGGGCAGCTAAAACCAGTGCTGACTGACTCTCATACTTCATAGATGAAAGTAGGTGTTTATTTTTTACATAATATCAGATGTAATTCAGAGCAGAGCTTCTCATTTCACCAAACTGTGGCTATTTTATTCTCCTTTGAAGTGTTTTGGAAAGGGATGCATGCCTACAGAGGAATTTCTGCTGTAGTGCTGATCCTGCTTGAACTGAACTGGGAAATGGTGACAGCTGGAATAACATGGCTTTCCTTTCTTCCAGCCGCTGTGCTTTCCCTTCTTCTGGGTGTTCTTTCTCCATTCTTTAGTGGAAGTAAATCTGACTGCAAGGAAAGAGCCTACAGAAAGGAAGCAGGTTAGGTGAACCATACAGATGAAGCCCCCATTTCTCTGGTTCTCAGTAGCTCCACCAAAAGCTGGCAGAGAGGTAAAACTGACCCTTTGTTACCTAACCTGATTGTGGGCTTGTTTGATGCTTCAGTCTTCTGCTGCTTTCTATCTCCTCTTCACCCATGACTCCACTTGCTGATAGAGGCTGAGAGCAGCAGCACAAGAGGGAAGTGGCTTTCAGTGAGAAAGGCAGGAGGAGGATAGGGTTTCTTGATATGAGAAGGCAAACTTGTAGGTGACTCAGTTCTTGCAGTTCCGAATCTACTTTCATATTTCACTGCCCGAGCTCACTCTTACTGCTCACAGTAGGTTTCACTGTCTTCTAAGCAAAATATAGGTGGTGATCACCCATTAAGATTTGAAACACCCCTTGGAACTGCCAGTTTTACGTTTTGGAGCCCCCTGGGAGTTGGTCCAATATAAACAGGATCTGGAACCCCAGGGGCAATAAAAAAAAAGGATCACCTTAGATCAGTTCCACCTCTTCGTTTTTGGAACCATATTCCAGCATTCCTATTAACACACCTGGTAAGGGGAAGATTTTCTGCCAGTTCCCAAAGGTGCCCCAGTAGATTGTGTGTGAATTCCATTTAACTGGCTTTAGTGGGGAAGGAAGAAGTTGGGCAGAAATGGCATGTGGTTGAGGAAACTGGGTTTTATAGAGTCTTTTCTCACCCGTGGGACAGCATGCTCTGCTGTAATGAGCCTGTAGCTTCTGCAGGCTAATTACTTACTACTCTTTGGAGACCCTGTGAGCCTGACTTAGATTTACAAATTCAAGTGTCAGTCAGAACAGTTCTCAGAGGTGATGGGACAGACCCTGCAAGGGGTTGAGGCTGTTTTCTGCTGCTTTGCACAGCTGGCGTAGCACAGAGGGTTCAGTGGCAGTTCCCACTGAAAATTCGTTGGGTATGAGGTAGAAGTGATGCCACTCTGAAAAGTACAACTGTCCTCAGAAACTGGGCCTTAGTGCCTGTGTGGCAGTAACGCAGATAGTAGCAGTGTTAACAGAAGAGAGATGGTAGCTGAATGCACAGGGAGCAGCTGTCCTGTAGCAGTGTAGTAAATCATCTGAGCACCTCCAGGTTTGAATGTGATGCTGATGTTTTTACCATACTCTTTAAACCGGGTTCTTTTTAGCATAAATTAAGAGAAGTGTTTCTCTTCATCTGACCACCAGGTTATCCTTTTCATTTAATCTTTCGTTTCCATCTGGTGTGAACCTTCGTCACTAAGCCCCAGTTCTGGTCGGCCAGATGAAGTGTTCCCAGTGCCTCAGCGCTGGGGCAGCAGAGGGCAGACGAGGGCTGCTCAGCAGCCTGTGCATCTCTCCTCAGGTGCGGCACCGCTGTCCTCAGGTCCTGGAGAGCTGCGGACACAACCCAGGGCAGTCACCAGGAAGAGCTCCAGCAGGACTGTTGGAGTCCACACTGGGCACTTTCAAAAGATGCTCTGTTAGAGAGCCAGGAATGACTGTTAGAGCTCCACGGGGATGATTTTGGAAGGGGGAAGTTTCAAATATTTTTGCCCTTTTCCTCGCAGCAGAAGGTTATTCCTTCCCTTTACATTTGTTTTACAAGGGTTGTTTCCCTCTACTTCCATGGTGATTTTCCTTCAGAGTGTTTTAGCTCTCCTGTTACATACTGGCACAGCTCCACACAGCACTGTGACTGAAAAGAACCTCTAGGCTTGGACATCAGGAGATAGGAGCCAGCCATTCATGAGGGTGCAGTGGCCGCAGAGTCAAGCTGAAGGGAGAGGGGATTGAACATCCCAGGATCCTTTCCAGGGCTATTACCTTCTCAGATACATTTTTGTCTACTGAAGATGATCTGTGTTAGACCAAGACAAGCAGGCCAGCAGCTCCAATCTTTGAGTTGGAAAAGCTGGCCCTGTCCTTGTAGTTCTGAGCATGAATTCATCATACCCAGGCACGTGCGTGTCTAAAGACCACACCAGAGCATTTTCTCCTTTAGGCATAGATCAAACCCTTGTGCTGTGCTCTCTGCTCTTCCTCCAGTCACTTGGGCAGGTAGCTCAGGGGCTGGGGGGTACTCTGGGGCCTCTGCTGTTTCATCTGCCTTTCTGAGGACTGCTGACCCTGATCTGTAGTGGCACAGAGCATTTGATGAGAGGCACCAGTGCATCTTTGAAGTGGTTTTCTTGAGTCCTGCCCTACCCTCCACTAATTCACACGTGGGGCCTAAGCTCATAATACACGAGAGACTAATGCCCAGCTTGCTTCTCAGGGGATTCCCTGCAGTCCTTAATCCTTAGCAATACCAGGGTAAAAGCCTCTTGTGTTTCAGGTACCCCGGTTTTGTTAAGAAAAGGCTCCTTTACTTTGTCCCCAGACAAGGTGTGCTTTGTCTGGCATATTCTGTTCTGCCAGGGTGAAGGAGTCTCATTGTGAATGGAAGTCAAGCTCTCAGGGCAGTATAAAGAGAGGATTGGGTCCACATCCCAGCTCAGGAGGCATCGTGTATCACCTGGGAGTGGTAGCCACACACCACACCTAAAAACGCATTGCGCCATGTCCCCAGTAGGCACATCTCACCCATGTTACGAGTGTGAGATAAGTATGTATTGTGGGTTTCATACCCTGTGTGACAGATGGATTTCAGTTTGACTTCCTCTGTGTTGCTGATGGCCATTGACTCTGTGCTAACGGCCGAGAGCAGGCTGGGATTTTTGCTTCTGAGTCAGTCCCAGATGTGAAGTGTGGTTCAGATGAAGCACTGTTGTGGTGCAGCTGTCAGGTTAAGAGTTAACATATGCCCAAAGAGGTGCTGTTATAGTGTTATACCTTTTGTATTCCACTAGTGCTCCACAACCCAGTCATGGTCCCAAAACCCCATTGTGCAAACACTGAGTAGAAGCATGGTCCCTGTTCCGGAGAGCTTAGAATGTTGTCTTTTGCACCAACATTGGTTTTGTCGCAGGAGACCTGAGTTCAGACTCCTGTTCACTCAGCTAAATGAGTTGCTCTGTCCCGAAGCAGATTTCTGGATTGGATTTCTGCAGATGTAAGGTGTAGATAGATGGTCAGAGAAAAGGTCTGGCAAAGGCTCAGCAGCCCCATCTGTGTCACCCTCCTGCCCCAAAGCCAAAGGAGCTCCTTCTGCTACTGCTGATATGCAGGGAGGATAGAATCATAGAATAGTTAGGGTGGAAAGGACCTTGAGATCATCCAGTTCCACCCCCGTGTCATGGGCAGGGACACCTCACACTAAACCATGGCACCCAAGACTCTGTCCAACCTGGCCTTGCGCACTGCCAGGGGTGGAGCATTCACAACTTCCTTAGGCAACCCATTCCAGTGCCTCACCACCCTTATAGTAAAAACTTCCTCCTTATATCCAGTATAAACTTCCCCTGTTTAAATTTAAACCCATTCCTTCTTGTCTTGTTGCTACAGTCCCTAATGAACATGGAACCTATTGATAAAGACCTCTAAGGTGGAAGGTTTGCCATCTCTTGTGCCACCTATGCCAGTTCTCCTCTAGCGTTGCCATTTCACTTCTGTTGTGTTTTCTTTGTTTGGGTTTTTTTCCTCCAAGAGGCTGGATGAAATCTTTTGCCTTTATGACTTTGACAGATGCACCTCATGTTTTACTTTGGCTGTACCAATTTTGTGTTTGTCCTGTTCTTTTGTATGCGTGTGTTCCACTTTCCATGTTCTTTTAACTTCTTTCTTGGGACTGAGATCAGTAGAAGTTTCTGATTTAGGAGTTAGGTCCGTTGCTTCACTTCCAGTGCTTCCATTGCCAGCCCTTCTTAACTCCTTTCCCCTTAGAAAGTATTTTCACATGAAATCTTACCTGCCAGTTCCTTGAGTTTATTGAAGTCCATCTTGTTGGTTTTATTTTGCTGTTCTGCCTTAGCTCTTTGAACTCCTCATTTCGTTGTCTCTAGCCAAGTGACCTTTTCATCCTCACACTTTTGATTAGTCCCTCTGTGCTTTTTGTAATCAAATATAGAAAACTGAATTAAAACTCAGTTATTTTGCTCCATCAGAATAGAAAATGCTGCTTGTGGCTCCAAAACTATTCCAGTCCATCCATGTTGCTCTGTCCTGCTTCCCTCACAGATACCTGTGCATTAAAACTCCTCAGTTCTGCCAAGTCCTGAGCTTTGGTTATTTCCTCTAAGCTCAATGGATCTCCTGGGTGACCCAGAGCAGCCATGCTCTGCTCCTTTCTGAAGTGCTTTGAAATCTCAAAGTCAGGAGGTGATATCATTAACTCTTACGTTGATCTCACCTTCTTCAAAGAGTGTTGCTTTCCATGAGCTGCCGATCGTTCCTTTGGGTCTTGGGATAACATCTAGAGGAAAGATCGCTATTTACTGGGGTAATGTCCAGTGAGATAATTACAATAATTTCCTCACATCTTTGGAGGGTGAGGATAAGTTGTCACACTGTGGAAGATAAGCTTATAAGTAACAGCTTCAAACATTTCTATTTGAGGTGGAAATGGTCAAGTTATGGCGTGATGCTGCTGTAACCAGTGGGACATCAGTTCCTGTCCCTCTAGATTCAGGGGCTGGCATTCTCTCAGGTTTTATTCTTTGGGCATGGCCATATGTGTGGGGCAGGGGGAGTGCAAAGCTCTGAGGTCCTTTGACTTGGTAACATCGGTTTCTCCTGGTGTATGTTGATTCAAGGGAGGCTTTTCCTTTCACTTTACTGGTTTCTGTTGCCATTTCCAATTCCTGGTCCTGCTCCTTCTGACTACCAGTGAGATGGGTTTAGCCACTGAAACCCCAGCTAAGGGTTTGGTTAAACCTTTCCTTGTACATGCATACCAGCATCCAGCAAGAACTGACAGATATGTATGCTAATCCTGGTTAATGTATTTTATCTTCTGCGTTATCTCTCTTTGTGCTGGATTTCAAAACAAGGAGCTATGTGAAGACCTTGTTTTTTGCAGTTATAATGAGGCCTAGCTAATGAAGATGACAGTAATAAAAATACTAACAACAACTGTTGCTTGCTAGCTCAGCAAAACAATAGTGACCTCCCTCCATGTATGGAGATGGAGTCTCTCTCATGGATATGTATTTTATCAGATAAACTTTAGCCACAAGTTTACATCCTGAGGAACATGCTCAAGAATGCTTCAATGAGTTAACAGCACAGGTTCCAATTAAATCAGAAGAACACAGCCTCTAGAGACTGGAGGTGGTGCCTTTATGAGGATACCACCTAATTAAAGGTGTGAAGTCATTGGGAAGTGTATTGAACCAGCAAGTGCATCTTATCATTGCAAGGTGGTAGAACCAGAGATATCAGAACCAAGGATTAGCATTGCTAATCATGGGTGAGAGTGTAAATAACAGTTTCTTTAGCTAAGCTGACAGTGTGTGTGTCTGTCCATCATTGTTCCAAGCGTGATGGCATCCTGCCTTCTACATACTGAGTTTGAAACTGGGGAAGGAAAAATGGCATGTCTAGACAGTTAAACTTCAAGGAATTTCAGCTGTGTTGTGTACTTAAATGTCTTTCTCCTTCTTCCAGCTCTCTGCCCTAATGTCGTAAATCAGCGGCACTTGAGAACTCTGAAATACCTCTTTTACAAGAGATTCGTTGAGGTACGTTTCCCCATTGTGTGCCGTGGCTGTGAATGAGGCTTTTTGTTTCTTTTGCATTTCTAATAACATAATTGATCTGATTGGAATGTATTGATAGTATACGAGCAAGTTTTCATTGTGATGATTATTGTACAGAAATGCAATGGATCTGCCATTGGGCCTGTTTATTCTGAGTGAATAGTTTGCGTGTCCATTCATATTCTAATGACTGGGTGTCAGGACTGCTCAGACTTGGGTGCTAGTTTGCCTCGGCATCCTCAGCAGTGTTCTGAGACCCATCTAGGTAGGTCAGGATATCTCTCCAGAGACGTATTTTCTCTCAGCTGTCTCAAATAAGCAGGAGCGTACTGGCTAGAGAGGTTTTGGGGGGTTGTGTGTTGGGTTTTTTAACACTAGGGTTTAGGCAGTTCACATTGCTGGGTTCTTCGTAGGCACTTTGCTTTGGTACTTGTGGCTTGGCTGTGATAGGTATGGCCCAAACTTGCCACAGAAGCTCTTTTGTGCTGACAGCCATGTTACTGCTGAGCAAAATGGTGGTGCTTTCCACTCCTGTTGTCCAGCCTCCAAATTCTCTTTCCAGATGTGCTGGTACTTGTCCTGGCACTGGGGGCTTGTAGAAATAAGAAGATGCCTTTAGTTCCTTCTGAGGAGCAGGTTTCCAGGAGGCAGCTCGGAGGCTGACTCTCTGCAGAATTACTTCACTATGGTTTCTCCTCCCCTCTCAGGAGTGTACTGAGCCAAGTCACTGCCCTTTGGATGCTCTTGGGCACACTGTGCTGGGGAGCACATTTCTCTTCTTGTTAGCAAGGCAGTTTTGATGCTTCTCTTGAGAATCTGGCATTCATCCTTATCCTGTGCCTGGAAGCAGGTTGTACCAGCTGAGAGTAAGGTTTTGTTCTGCCTCTTCTGGAAAAAAAACAGCTTGCACATGTTGTATCCAGGTGTAGCAATAGGACTGCGAAGGACAAGGACCACAAGAGAGCAAATATCATAGCAAAATGTTTCCATTTCTTGAATTTTGCATTATCAAGCTGTATTGGCCAAACATGAGGTGGTGCTTCACCTGCAGGTGTAGATACAAGAAGCTTTTTTAACAGTTTTAACAGAGCCCAACAGGTTGTTCAGATGTTCCTACAGAACAACTGATCTGATCTTCAGAGAGCCAGTTTTCAGGAAATGAGAAACCTCCTCCAAAAGTGCCTGTTCTTGTGCCCAAAGAGGATTCATTTGATGTCCAGAGGAAGGCAGACCCATGTGTTTTTTCTGATACCCACCCCCCAGTTCTTTGAAGGTGAAGATGGGTTTGAGTGGTGGTGACCTGATGACACCATTCTGACACAGCCAGTTCTGCTTCCAAGACCTCCTGATCCATCAGTGAAGGCTCTGATCTGCCTTTGCTGCCTGTCAGATCCCTGACAGAAGAGCTGGGGAGGATTGAGCCTTCCAGCATCCTGCATCTCAAAGCCTTAATGTTGGATTACATCATTCTAGAGAGCTTGGTCATCTGCAGTAAAAGAGCAAAGAGCATTTATCCAGGTGTATTTGTTTAGCAGAGTGGACTGGATTCTTGATCTGGTGTTCTGCTCTCTTTGGCCTTCCACTTCCTTTGTTTTGGAGTATTTGCTTGATTTCAAGTATCCAAGCTGGCTGGTTGCTTCCATTAAGGTACATTTGGCAGCTGTTTCTGGATACGGTCCCTTCTTCTGAGAGCTCTTTGGTGTTCTCTGTTTACCATTCTCAGCTGGTTAAATGCCTCCTTTATATCACTAGTATTTAAATTACATGCTTGTATATCTCAAAGATGTTTACTTTGAGGCCTTTACTCCCTGTTTGCTCTTGTACCTTTCCATGAAGTGGCACTACTGATCCTTGTTACCACTGCCAGAAGTGGGGGGGAGGCTCAGGTCTGGCTGGCCAGTCAGTCTCATGCAGCCCATGTTCTTGGCAGAGTGGAGAGAAGGTCCCATCCTGGTTTCTCCTGAAGGTTGGCTCTGAGCTGCACTGGAATGGGGATTTTAGCTTATGGGGTTCCTTTCTCAGACCTCATGATTCCAGTGGATTTTTCATGACTGGGCTGTTGAGAAAAGTATTCTGAAGGCTCAGCCTTGCAGGTGATCCCTGAGATCACTGCCATTACTGGAGCCTGTGGGGACAGCTCTGCTGGGGCAGCTGTTGAGTTGAGCAGTCCATGGACATACTGCAAATCCAAGGTAAAGGCAGCAGCAGTGATCCACATGTTCCCCCAGACCGTGGCCTGTTTCAGCTTCGCTCAGTGCTGTCTCTGTCATTCCAAGGGCACCATGTGAGCCTTGAGGCACTCAGAAACACCGCTGTGCTTTGCAGGGGGTTGTTAAGGTGGTCGGTGTCCTGGAAATGAGCCCAGCTCCAGGTGATAATGAGATTTCAGGCTACTGCAGAGGGAAGTCCTGCCACTGCCTGTGTCCTTGGGTTGCGGATGAGGGGGTTTGTCCATGTGCTGTAGTGTAGCAATTGTCTGGATTACTTCATCTAAGCTGGTTTTGTGCCATGCCCCGGCTGGTGACATCTGAGAAGCAGAGATTTCCCGTGTGCTCCAGAACACATTCCTCAAGCACAGTTGATGGCAGTGTGGAAGATGTGTGTGAAATTTCAGCTTGCTTTATGCAGCATTCTTCTTTTGTTTCGAAGACAGCTCTGAAATAATTTTGTCTTTTCAGAAAACCATGACTCAGGAGAACTGGACAGACCACGTCCAGGTGAGTAGGGATTTCCCGCTCCATGTCCTCAAGGTTGTTTTCTTGGAGGTGTGATTTTAAGATGCTCAGAATATCCAGCTCTGGTTATTGTAGTCCTGCTGTTACAATTTTACTATTGCATACAGCAGACTCGTACATGCAGGGGAGGGCAAGGAAGAACACTGATGTTTTAATTCCTGATACTCTAATTTTGCTGGAGCGTTTAGATAAGATTATCAAGTACATTCCTTTACTTGCCTGCACTTATTTGTAAGTGAACACTGGTAGTTACGTTACTTACAAGGAAAGGGGAAAAGAGAGTTCACTTCAGGCTGTTAACAAGGAGTGTGAGTAAATTAGGACAAATCTTAGATTCCCTTTGCATGCCCCACTCTGATCACTTGTGGCAGCTTTATTGGGTGACTGTAGGATGCTGTGACTTCTACCTCTTGTGCTGTAGGACACAAGTAATTTTACTAACACAGGAAGAAGGGTAGCAGTGTATTATTTTTTCTTGGTGTATAAACAGGAGAGTTCAGACAGCCATGGTTTGGCCTGATACTGCAAAATATTTCAGTGATAATGAAATGTGAAGAAATTACAGGGTAACAGGGCATTAGTGATGATTTATGTGTTCATGATATCCCTATGGAATTGCAACCTCATGGGGAGTGTTTGCTCCTTTTCTGTAACTTCTCTCACTTGGAATTCTGCAGCCAGTAAGGATTTCTCACCATTGACTGGAATCTGCCTTTGAAAAACCATTGAAATGGTCAGTGTAGACCTTAGAGTGGTAGCAAGCCAGGCTGATGACTGACAATCTCATGCACTTGAGATCTTGGCATTGTCTGTGCACACCAAATGACTGAATTGTAAACACAAAATCACTGTACAATCAGAGACCAGTTTGTGTTAAAGGGACCTTAAAGCCCCTCCAGCTCCAAGCCCTGCCACTGGCAGGGACCCCTTCCACTAGAGCAGCTTGCTCCAAGCCCCTGTGTCCAACCTGGCCTTGAACACTGCCAGGGATGGGGCAGCCACAGCTTCTCTGGGCACCCTGTGCCAGTGCCTCAGCACCCTCCCAGGGAAGAGCTTCTGCCTAAGAGCTCATCTCAGTCTCCCCTCTGGCAGCTTAAAGCCATTCCCCTTGGCCTGTCCCTGCAGGCCCTTGTCCCAAGCCCCTCTCCAGCTTTCCTGCAGCCCTTTCAGGCACTGGAGCTGCTCTCAGGTCTCCCCTTCAGGAGCCTTCTCTTCTCCAGGCTGACCCAGCCCAGCTCTCTCAGCCTGTCCTCATGAGATATTTCTTCTCTCTTTTATGGGTCAGAAGCAAAAAGAACAGTTCAAAAGGTGTGAGGATGTGTTTTTTAAGACAGAGACCATTGATCCAATGCCCAGCAGCATGGCATGTTAAACCTGCTGTGTGTTTTCAGTGGTGAATATGCCACTGTGATGATAAACTACACTGTGTGTAGTTTATCATACCCATGTGAGAGGTCAGGCTTTGTGCGAAAAGTCTCGCCTCTTGATCTAGGTGATCTTGTCCACTGAAAGAACTTTCCAGGTTTCCTTTTCCTTTTTACCCTCACAAGTTTAAAGGTTATTATAGGATCTGGTCCCTTGCAGGATCAAGACTTGAGATGAGATTAGCCATAAAACTGTAGCCAGTATCTTCCTCACAACTTCTGGATGTACTTCAGTGTCTGCAGTGAAGGGTTTGATGGTGGATGATAGGAGCACCCTCCCAGTTTCAGGTACATGGCTGCAGATCATGTCAGTCACTTGTGGAGACAGGAGGCTTAGGAATAGATGCTCTCTGAAAAACGCTTGTTTGGTGCTTGCTGTGAGAGCCCCCTAGAGAGCCACAAAGAGCTCAGCTCCATGCTGGTCTCTGACAGAAGCTTCTCTTTGCTTTCCCGAACTATTCCAAACTTTGTATTTTCTGTGTACTGCCAACTAATCTATTTTTTACAACTATGTAATTATCACACGAGGGGTGCTGAAACTTGCCTCTTATCAGTCCTGCCTCTCAGTGCTATCAGAAATTACTGTCTTTGGCATCACTTCAAAGTGATTGGAATCTCTACCTGTGCATCTGGAGGAAACTGAAGTAATCTCATGTGCAGGTTGGCTTCTGCTGCACCAAACAAAGGACAAGATACAAAGCAGGAGCCTCTGAGCAAGTTCTGGTTTTCAGGACAAAAACTAAGTTTGCCCAGGACTTTATTGTGCTTGAAAGCTGTGGGTTTACGCGAGGGAAAGGTTTAACTTCCCACGCAGAGCTTCATCAATGACCTGACATGTTTTGACAAAACAAATCCATTAGACTCCTTATGGAGCTGGAGGGAGTTGTGTGTCCATTTGAATGTTTAGTTCAGGCTCACAGACAGTTTGTGTCTGCTGAGTTCTGCCTGGAGATGCAGTATTAAAGACGTTGTGCGGGGTAGGAGGCAGAAGATGGGATGCAGGAAACCAAAACTCCCCAAAGACTCCACAATGGCAGACTCCCAGTCAGAATTTGTGGATAGTTTTTTCAGTTTCGATCCCAGAATCCCAGCCTGGTTTGTGTTGGGAGGGACCCCAAAGCTCCTCCAGCTCCAACCCCTGCTGGGCAGGGACACCTTCCACTAGAGCAGCTTGCTCCAAGCCCCTGTGTCCAACCTGGCCTTGAACACTGCCAGGGATGGGGCAGCCACAGCTTCTCTGGGCACCCTGTGCCAGTGCCTCAGCACCCTCACAGGGAAGAGCTTCTGCCTCATATCTAAAATGTCCAAAGGGGTTGAAAACCTTCATGGGTTTAAAGCCCATTTTTCTTCATTTGTGCTGCAGCTGTCACAAAAGACTTCAGTGATATAGATGCCACAGCCCTGGTGAACGTGGTGTCCCGCCATGTTCAGTGGTGCTGGCCATGGCACGTTCCATGTGGCTGCCAATAGACATTCCTGGGTTGGGATTTCTTTTTGCTCACCCTGAGCAGTACAAGTACAGAATTTTCCCCTTCCTGCCTGTGGGAGGAATCAAAGGTGTGATCCTGAGTGCTCCTACAAGAGGCAAAGCTCAATAGTTAATTGTGGGGCCAACAGAACCTGTTTCCAGCCCTGTAGCAAACTGGTTTTGCCCCTTTGCCACTGCCTGTGCTGCTGCTGCGCTGTCCGGGCTGTGGCTGCAGAGGAGGCAGGAGGGGAAGCAAAGGCACCTGAATGTCTTCATACCCTGGGGAAACTGCCCTCATCACAAGTGCCTGTTGGCAGCCTGCTGAGCCTGGGGGAGAGCTCCCCTTTGTATCCTCTGCTCCAAGCAGAGATGCCTGGAGGGGAGAGGGAAGGGAAGGGCGCTCCTCTTGCCCAGTGCCAGCTGCACTGCTGTTCATTAGCTTGCCTAACTGCTCCCAAGCTGCCTGGAAACCCGCAGGACAGTGCCTGTCTTCACAAGCAGAGGGGAAGGTGTGGAGGGTATTGATGGTAGATAGGCAGGAAAAAAAGAGGCAAAGCATGAGCCAATTGTCTGCTGTGCTGTGTGCCCTTCTGCTTCCATCTTGGCATGCTTCATGTTGTTCCTAGCTTCAATCAGGTGCATAGAGATGAGTGAACTGGGTAGAGCACGCACAGAGCAGGAGATACATGGCTCTGGTCAGATGCATTCAGGAAGGGTTGTCCTGCCAGCGACTGCAGAGAGCACTTGGCCAGCAGCAGGAGGGGCTCATTGAATGCTGATGTTTCCCTGGAATGTTCCCTGATTCTGCGGGACAGAATCACTTTGAGACTGAGAAGCATGGAAGGCATTTTTCAATCATCTGCCAAGTGCTCAGAAAGTGATCACACAGAACAGTAACGTCTTGGATGAGCACAGTAGGAAAGCAACTCTGACTGCAAATGTCACCTCTGCCAGTGCTTTAGGTATTGGATAGTATCTGAGATACTTGCATGAGGTTGGCAATGTGACGTGGGACCTTCCAAGGAGCACTTCCTTCTCGGGTGGCAGCTGCTCCTTTCCAACACCAACAGTTCTATGATTCCGTGGTGCCTGAGGACAGCTCAGCACCATACACGTGTGTTTTGGTGATTCCGGTTTAACAGAGGGCTTGGGAATAGGAGGGCTTGGTATACTTTGCTGTACTGCGTTTAATGTGCAGTGTTCTCACTGGTGTTTTGGAGGTGATCTTGCAGTTGTGCCCTTTTAGGCTCAGCTTGGTTGATTAAGGTTATTGGTTGATGAAGGCCAGGTTGGACAAAGGGGCTTGGAGCAAGCTGCTCTAGTGGAAGGTGTCCCTGCCCATGGCAGGGGTTGGAGCTGGAGGAGCTTTAAGGTCTCTTCAACCCAAACCATTCCATGGTTGCGTGGTTAGTGCCAGAGGTCTGGTCCATTCCCCGTGGGCACTGTGCCCGTCCATGCGAGGAGAGCAGTGCCTGCGAAGCTCTGAGGTCCTGATGCCACACACAGGAGACAGTCTCAGCTTGGTGAAGAAAGGTTGGAGTAGTTGTATAGGGGGAATAACAGAATATTATGGGTATTTCTGAACAGTTACAGCCCAGAAGGCAAACACTTGTTCAATGATTTTAACATCCAGGGTATTTTTGCAGGGAATAGTTTGACTGAAGCAGAGCTAGCCAGAACAGTTTAAAATGTTACCTCAGGGCACTTTGGTCCATGTCTTTATTTGGACTTCCTGCTGTGGAATTCCTTTTCCTGTGGAGCTGAACAGGGTAATGGTGCACAGCTTCCCTTGGGGCAATCACTAGAATCAGTGTTGGGAGGGTTAAAACCAATGAGTTGATTTAGGACTGTCAGTGTCCTAATCAGCTGCTTTGCAACATGCCTGAGACAGCGAGGTGGTGAAGTGGTGCTTCCACTTTTACTGACCTTGAGCCAAAAGGCCTTCTGTTGCTAAATCAAACCTTCTGTGCTGGTGTTTGCACGGGAAAACCCTTTATTCCTCAAATGCGGAAATCTTAACTCGTCCCACAATTGCTGAGAAAAAGGGCTGTTGCTTGAAAAGATGGTAGCTGGGTTTGGGCCTCCTCGTG